AAAAATATGTTCAGGGGTTAAAAAATATGTTGCCCATAAACATCTGGAATCTCAGTAGTAGCCTCGAAGCTGGTATCCGTTTTCATATTAGTGTTAGCACTGTGGCTATCATTAGCATTAAATATCTTTCTCAAACCGAATTGCACCAACTGGAAATCTATAAGATCTAATTGAAACCATCTGAAATCCAATTGTAATCAGCTAAGACCTAATTCAACTCAATTGAAATCTGAAATCTAATTACGCTCGGCTTAAACGTTAATCCAAATCATCTGGAAATTCAAGTAAAACCAATTAAGACAAATTGAAAATCACATGAAAACCACTTGAATATCTCTATTCAAAATGAATTGAAACCCGAGTAGAATCAACTGAAACCTGATTAAGATGAATTCGACAATCGCTTAAAATCAATCGAAAATGAGAGTAAAAAACCAAGTAGAATCTATTCGGAATCAGTTGAGAACCTCATTAGCATCCATTAAGGTCTAGTTAATTCAAATCAATTGAAATCCAGTTAAAACCAATCTAGAATGTAATTAAAGCCAAGTACAACTTGATTGGAATCTGTTTAAAAGCCAAGAGACAATCAGTTGGTAAACAAACACAGTTGAAATCCCATCAATATCTAGTGGAAATCTGATCAAAACGAATAGAAGCTTGATTAACACCAGTTCAAATCCAATTAATTTATACCAGCTGACTACCTAAATCAACCATTGGAAATCCAATTCGAATCACCTTGACACCAATCAGAATCATTTTGAAATCACATTAGACTTGGTGCTATCCTGTTGAAACTTTAGGGGGCCGGAAAAATATTTCATTATTCCGGACCCACCCTAAAACAATGCTTGAAGTACATTCAGGCCTCTGTTGGATTACCCCCGACAGACTGAGGGATCGTATGTTTTCGTGTGCTGCCAAACAGCATGGAGCTGGGGTCTGTGAGTTAACGGACTCTCCAATTCTCTATAATATCTGGCCTTATATGTAGAGGCTCGAGCCCTTTTGTTTGAATTAAAGCCCATTGAAGGTTTGGGCAGCAGCTGGAAACCGTGCTGTTATTCCGGACCTCTAAAACAAATGCCTAAAGTGGATCCAGGCCTCCGCTGGACTCCCCCGCAGAAAAATTGATGGCTTGTACGTCTTCGTAAAAATCCTGAGTCAGCGGTTTATATGGAGCCTGTGTCTCTTAGTTTCTGGATTTCGTCGTCTCTACTATCTGGCCTTATAGGTAAGACTGTGGTGCTACAGCTCTGGAACTCAAAATCCTTTCAGGCCTGATGCTCAAAGCCCCTGAGTTTTAAGGGTATCCTGGTCTAAGGGAAGAAGTAGTCTCAAAAAGCACTTGCAAGCTGTTTCAGTTCTGCTTCTCTTAGCTAAAGCAAACCAAAATTAATCAATAAATGTTGCTCTCTTTAACAATTTTGGGCACAAAACATCCGGATCCCTCAATCAATACCAGATCCTGAATAATTTCCTCTAAAGATTTATTCGACCGGGCCTCTTGTACAAAGACGATCCAACATAACCTTGGGTCAAAGTTCCAGCCCAACCAGATATCATGATTTCTGCGGCAGGAGGCAGGCTAAAGACCTATGAGAAAGAACCTCACCAATAATTCTTGCAGGGCCCATGCTTGTCACCCAGGTGCCTGCTGCAAATTCTCCAGTGAGCTCATACAGAAGCGTCACATCTAGAATCTAGATGTGAGCCACTATGGCCAAACCTCCTGGTAACCTTAGATGTCCCAAGGTTTGAGTTGGCGTCTTCTTGGGTTGGCCAAGAAAGATCAATTAACATGACGTCGATCTCAGCCAACAATGCACGACCAATTCCCTGTGCGTCTCTGTCGGCCTTGGGTAAGATGGACGGGGGCCAGAACACCAAGACTGGGAAAGCTAAACTCAACGCCAGGGATTTTCCTTCTTCGTTGCTCCCGTCCCCGCATGGGTGACAGCATGTGGGCAGTGACAGAGATGCTGACAATGCATGCTGCATGGACATTGGTCCAGCCTGGTCTTTGTTGTCCGCGTGCTGCACAACCAAGACCCCGAAGCCAAATACGGCTCCCCTCAAAAGATGCAGGCAGTATCCCCGGAGTGGCAACCGACACCGTGTGCACGCGGACCCATTTGTTCCAGTCCAATGGCACCTCTTAGATTTGCGCAGGAGAGACGTGCGGCTGAAAGCATTCAGCCTGGAACAGAGGCTACACAGCATGACATTGACCATGTCTAGGGGAACCTGACGGGGAGGACAACCTAGGAACACGACTCATTTCCGTTTTTTTCCAGAGCCTGACTGTGAGTGGGACACTGCACGCCTACCATGAGGTGTTCCAGATGTGTTAGATAGCCACAGGAAGCAAAGAAATCCCTTGACAACAAACCGCTCCACTGCCAGATGTGACCCGCACTGTCCACTGGAAACAAGTTCACCTTCAAGGGTGCAAGTTTGGGAGGAGACCTGCAGTTGCACAAATGTTCACACAAGCGGATCTCGACGCATAGCACGCTCTGATCGGGGCGGTGCAACGACAGGTCAATGTTGGGAAGGCACTGATCAAACGCAAACGCTCTGCAGCGTTTCGCTCACTACCCGCGAGCTTCTTTTCTCCAAAGGCGCTAAGCCTGTGTCATCCTCTCGAACAATGGCACAATCAGATGCCGATGCAGCCGTCCCGAGCTGCAAAACATGTAACCCCTGCGCACAGGCCAACTTGCTCCGCAAGAACCGTCCAAGCTAACGCAATGGGCGCGTTGAAAAACATGGCCATGGAACGCATGGCTGCTGAAGAGGAGCTGATGCTTGTTGAGGTGTCGACTGTTGGTAGCCGGCTACGGACTTGGGCCTTCGGCAGAGCTCCCAGTGCGCAATTTACCTTAAGCCCATACACGGAAGCTCTCACCTCGGACAAAGCTTAAAGCCCAAAAGATGCTTGGTTATAAACATGTGCGCATGTCATGGATCCATCAAACTTGCTCCGGTAGCTGAAGCCAAATGATGGGCACGTCATCACATCACGCTTAAGAAGCAAACGTGTCGGAGGCCTTGGCACAATTGCAGAAAGCACACTTCGAATCAAAAACCAAAATGCCTGTTGTTTTGCGAGTATCCTGGAGAGCAGGCAGAGGGCGCAAGAAACTCCATCACACCTTGAAGCTACAACGGTGGCAATGGCTGGAAAACATAACAAGAAAATGGCTGATCTTCTGAGATGTTTAGGGAACTTCTTCGGCTGACATTGCACCTACACATTCTAGAATTCGAGAGTGCAGTGTCATGAGCATGCAGGACAACATTCAGGGCACGCATTCTCCATAGGCGAAGTACAGTAATTAATGTTCGAGGTCCGCTGAAATGAGCTGATCTGCATTACCTGCATGCGGCCAACATTTGCATGGTCTTTTGACTGCTTGTTTTCATGTTCTGACGCAGGCAGCAGCACCCTGCCAACTCCAACTCCGTCATCTAAGGCGGCGTGACGGTACAATGCAGTGTGAAGCATAGTTTGCCACCAGGCACTCACGCCAAGCTCCAGATTTCTCAAGATGCAGTACTCCAGGACCGCGGTACGAGCTCTGAATCCTGCAAAAGCCTGCAGGCATCTGCCAGCAAACTGATAGGACACTCAGCAGCGGCAACCACATGCCATCGCCATGGCAGCTACAACTGCGCAGGGTCTTGCGATCGACTTATTGGGACATCTTCACAGGTGTCTTGAAATACCGGGTCATGCCGAATTCCTCCATGTAACCTCTGAGTATGCATACCAAAGGATTGACCACATGTACTCTGAACTGCTGAAGACATTCTCGTTAATACTCGTACCGAAGAGAATCGAAGAGACTAGTTGTGCTTCTAGTTCTTGCAGGCCTTCAGCATCAGGAATGCAATCATTCATTCATTGGTCTGAGTTTGCCACAGCAAGGTGTCACTATCATAGTCGATGTTGCCTTCACATGCATTGACATCGACAAGCGCGCTTTGGGCGATGTTCCGCCGTGGTGGCTGGAGGTGGGCTCTGGTCTTTGCCTGTGCATTTATGCTGCCCGGCGAGCGAGTTGGAGCGAGACCGCATGTGTTCGGCGGCTGCTTGGAATTGGAAATGAAAGCATGGGCTTGGCGAGACTGTTATCGCTGAGGCTCTGGAACTCGCAGCTGTGTTTGCCGTACGAGGATGCGCCGTTCTTCAGGCCGCACTGTTCACCGCTCCCTCAATCTTCCGTGCGTGCGCTTGCCTGCTGCCTACGCTTCTCAATGAAAGGAGGCATGGACCCTGCTTGACATCATCATTGTCGGATCGGGGGTTTTGCAGCTGGTGCTCAAGTTTGTCGGTGTTTCCTTGGACAGACTTCTGGTTGCAATGAAGCTCAGTATGTTGCAATTTGCTCGAGCAGCCCTCCTCTCACAGCCGCTGTCAGGTGTGGCGGTCCTCCGACCGCTTCGAGTTGTCCGGATTATGAGGCTCCAACTTTCAAACGCCTTGAACGGGTGGCCCCCTCTGAAATCCTGACCAGGCTTTTCCGCCTCTTCCGCAAGTTCAGCATGTTGAAAGAGCTCCGCAAGTCTCCTGGCAGAGCATTAGTCCTGCAGTAAACTGGCGGCTGCCACGCGAGTCTCCAGGCTCATATCAATGACAGCTAGCTGCTTCAAGACGCTATGCTGGAGTTTTCTTTTCTGCTGCCTGGCCTGAAGACAAGTCTAGATACATGCTGATGTGCTCATGTTGAAAGAGTGGTTGGAATATGAGGGCCCACCGCCATCAGCAGCCAAGGCTTCATTGTTATGACTTCCTGGGCGATGCTGGCAGTGGAGATGTTGCAGCCCGTGATGCCCAACTTGGAGGCGCCTCAACACACACGGAGAAAGGGATTAACCC